GGTACTACAATACTTTTGAACTTTACCTTGACAAACATAATTTCTAAATGGTTGGATTAAAATTCACAAAAACATTTCCTTAGCATCCAAACTTCAAATCATTACAGATGGCTGTGAGTTTAGATTGCAAAATTTTTTTTATTTTGATATCAAATTATATTACAATTACAACGTGACAGTGCATTCTTTGAATTAAACCTGAAAACATTTCTGAGATTGTGTCGGAAAATGTTCTGCGCTGAACAGAAAATGTCAACAACAGGGGGACTTTTCCTGCTCAAAAACAAACAAACACAGAATTATTAAAACGCCTCTTTGGAGATTTTCGGGTTGCCGTGCGGCTGAATCAATCACCAGCCTTTTGACGTGTCTCCTGATCTAACGCTTCCTCTGTTCACGCAGAAAATTTGCACTCTCTAAAGCTAAATTCCAAATCAGTGGCCCACCAAAAATACGAAAAACTGACAAGGAAAGATTGGGATCCTGAAAACCTTTTTCTGTAAGAAACTTTTTCTTCAAAATCTGGGGCTGTGCCAAAGTTTATTTTTGCTGGAGAGGTGGACGCCATGCTTCAAACCTGCAGCCTGAAAAAAAATAAAAAATGACAAAGGGTTAGACCCAGTCATCTTGTGGTTGACCGTAACCAGTGTTTAGCCTGGACGATCTTTGGCCACCGGTCATTACAGCACCATGCTGGACCTGCCGTACTGTTGTCAAAACACTGCACTTGGCAGGGACTGCTGAATCAAAATGAGGCCGTCTGAACTGTGTGTGAGAGTCAAATGGTACATCTGTTAAGGATGTGTCGCTAGCAGGTTAGCCCTTCTGGACACGCATTGTCTGTAAGGCTGAGGGAAACTCTAGATTTTTTTTAAAGCAAGTCAACTTGAGTGTCTGAGTGGGAAGCAGCCACCCGGACATGAGGGCTCTGATGTGTGGTTAGTGGGCTCCCCCTGCTGTCTTCTGGGTTCTCAACATCCCCGAGTGGCTGAAAATAACTCGTCATTTCTGCGATTGGAGCGGCCCTGTTAATGTTAGCTTGCCGTGGAAGCCGTTTTTTTTCCGCGCACACATCTTCCACGAGCCACTTAGACAAACGCCCATGCCTCTGTCTTCCTCCCTTCCTCCGTCCTGATCTATAAATACTCCGTCATCAGCCGCGGGAGGCGTCGACCCCGGCCTCCCTCCGTCCAGCAGAGCGGTGATTTATGGGGGCCCGGGCTGGCGCTAACCTTGCACTTGAGCCCTGGCAGCATAAATGATGGCGGGTCAGTGACATCCTGGATGGAGGGGAGAGCCTTTATCTCTCTCTCTCTATCTCTCTCTCTCTTTCCCCTCTTTCTGTCCTGTTATCGTCGGTGTGATGGAGCCATCTTCATAATCTCCTGCGAGTATAAATAGTGCTGGATCAGGTGACCACGCCGGCCCCGGCCTGTGACGGGAGCTTTAATTTCATGCTTAATTTCTCTCGGCAGCTCCAGGAATCGATGCCGCCCCATCCCTCCGCTCTCCGACAGAAAAGCAAAGAAGGACACGAACGCTCACCTCTGACTGATACGCATCCATTAAGGCGTTCGTCTCACCTGTAAACATGCATATGTATCGGCATCCTTCAGTGGGGGGAAATTACAAACGAGTGAAGGTCAAGAAACCCACGCAGGGACTCCTCCACCCCCCCCCCCCCCCCCCCCCCCCCCCCCCCCATCCAGATGGAACGGTTAGCTTTGGAAATAAGAGTAACAAGCAAACTATAACTACACGGCTCCCCACCTGTGTGTTGTGTGTGTGTGTGTTGGACGTTGCTCCGGTGATAAATACGAGTCCCCGCGCACGGCCCCGGGGAGGCATTGAACTCTAGCCCCTCTATAATGACTTTGTCTAGCTATCGATCCGGCCATGATCCATGTACTGTAATTCTTATATCATCAGCCCTAGCCCCAGCAATAACTCCAAGTCATATTTCGGGGCCTCCCCCGTTCACTTGACAACTTAATGATGCAAGGGGTCCTTGCCGAGTTTGGACTTCAACCACACACACACTCACACACACACACACACACACACACACACTCACACAGACACAGACACACACTCACACAGACACAGACACACACACACAGCTCTCCCTTCCTCCTGCAGGGCTTTAATTTCTCCTTGTTCTTTCAGACTAATCTCAGCAAAGGCCCAGAGAAGCTGTTCTCTCTCGGGACTTCCTTCTCTGTGCTACATCTCTAATCCCTTTGCCTTCTGTGTGTGTATATCGCCGTATATTGCCGAGCCGGTTGCCGTGCATCTGTCTCTGATTTGGAGCACAGCCCCTGCAGGTTCCCGGTGAGACTCAGCTGTTCCTCTTTAGACCCTGTTCTTTTTCTCCCTCCGAGCGAGGGCTATATTTCATTGTCATTTCAACCCTCTCTTTCAAGCCCGGGTGTAATAGCCGGAGATATATGGGACTCACTTCTGCAGCCTTCTGAGTTTCCCTCGGTCTCCTATAAAGCACTGTCAGAGTGACAAAACAGCAGCCCTTGGGTATTCGGGCACAGATGCCCCCCTCATCTAGAGGCAATTTCTCAATATCCTGCGCGGATCCTTTTAGTGAAGAGATAACATCTGGGTCTTTGGACAGGATGAGCTGGAGCAGTCATCCTGGAAAGAGGGGCTCATCTCCATGGCTCAGATACGATCAATTAAGGGGTTAAAGCCGGCCGGGACATGGATTCTGTGGCTTTTTTTGGCCCAGTGGAGAAAAACCCCTAATGATATTCAACCTGGATGCGGAGAGAAAACTGCAGACGATTAAAGTCTTACTGCGGATTCTCCACTTTGTTCCTTTAGCTCTCCTCATCCCCCTGTTTCGCCACAGCATCCTCCTCAACTACCCTCCTCGCCCTCTTAGTTCTACTCCATTTACACTTTCTCTTATCTCCATTTTAGTCCTCTCTCTCTCCTCCCCTCCTTGGCTCAGCTCACGCTCACCGGCACACATTCTCTGTCTCCCCCCCTAACCCCCACCCACCCCCCCTCCACCACACTCCCCCAGCCTTAATTGGGAGTCAGGGAGAGCAGTGGAAATCGCATTAACGCGGGCCCTGCCTGGGTGCGCCATCCATCTTCTTTTTTATTACGCCGCGCCGGGGCTGCCTGGGCGCTGCCGTTCGATTTGTCACCGGCCTCGTTCGCTGATAACAGGCATTTGTCATCGCCCTGCCTCCCTGTTAATGTTATCATCTCCTCCCTGACAGCCGCCCTCCGCCGGGGCGGTGCCGGCGACAAAGCACATCCGTCAAGCGAATATTTCCACGGCTAAGGGGACCGCGCACAGCAATAAGCCACATTAAAGCACTTATGAAGGGGTGCGGGCCGAGCCTGTCTGTGCGTGCGTGCGTGCGTGCGTGCGTGCGTCGGTGCCGGAGTGCGCGCTGCGTGCGTAAAGGCGCACACACACACACACACACACACTCAGGGTGCTCAGGAGCGTGTTGCGCGCCTGTCAGAGGAGGGAAAAGAGCCGAGGTGGGGGCCGACGGGGAGAGGAGGAGGTAATTTGTTGCAATTAATTACGCAGTGAGCGTGGCTTTGTTGTGTGGGAGAGCATTTTATCTGTTGGAATGCTTCCTCCGTCAGGCTGTGATGCTATTTCTTTGATTTATAGCTTCTGCCAGCCTGAGGCGGAGCAAATCTGTGTGTGTGTGTGTATGTGTGTGTGTGTGTTTTCACATGTGCACAAAGCTGTGGCATTATCAACAGAAATATACTGGAGTCTCCGTGACAAGGAGACCTTTTGTGTGAGAGTGACGGTACATATGAACAGGAGCCCACTCGCCGGTGGTTCTCCGTGGGGACCGGAACGCTGCCGTCCATTTGTCTTTTAGCGGCCAATCAACAGCTCCACAGGCTGACCCCTCCATCACCAGCAGGCCTCGGTCCTTCTCAAAGACGGGACGCCATAGTCTGAGGAGCTGGGATCGTCTCTAAACCAATCCAGACCCTGGTTTTCAACCCTTTTTTTCCTGTTCTTTTTTTTCCTGCGTCAGGGCAGGCGGAGATGTGACAACATTTATCCATTCGGCGTCGGTCGGGGGTTGCAGGGGCCCTTCTGCAGGAGCTGACAGATGGATCAGGCCGCCTGGAGGCAGAGGGAAGAGATGAGACGAGGAGGAGCCATCGCTCAGCTTAGTGTGGGGCTCTCAGATCTGGCGTGGCGTGTCACCGGGAATGGCAGATTTGCAGCCCTTACAGAAAGCAGGGCCTTTTATTACGGGACTTTAACTCACTGAGCTCTGCCAGTGAGCCAGATTTTACCACACGGTCGGAGATAGATGGGAAGAATATTGACATAAGACAGTCAGAAAAGCTCGTAGTAACAATTACAAAACAGAAGAGACCAAGAAACTAAAAAAAATAACCAAACAGAGCTAATACACTGGAAATGTGGAACCTGGATGGTAATCGTTTAGCAGCATCCACAACTCGCCATCTACTCTCTCAACCACAAACCGGTCAGTCTGACAGTGGTTCAGAAAAAAGGACTCAGTCTCAACGAGAGAAAAACAATGTCCTGGGACATTTGTATCCCTTCCTCGATTGGTTTAGGTAACAACGACGTGATTATGGTCAGACATGATCATGATTTGGGCTGCAATATGTTCTTTTTTCGATGCTAATGCCATGAAAATCATCAATGGACCTCATTTTTCTGGCTGCTGATACCAATGAACCTATCAGACCCTGAAACCTAAAAAGATTTGTGCTTTTTTTCAATTAGTCAAGATTTCTTGTGACCTGTACTGATTATTTTTTATCTTTAATACTATTGTAAGTCACGTGAATGCGACCCAGATCAAGAACAAAACGTGATCCGATGGCAGACACAAGTAAAGTGTGTGTTTTTAAATTGGTATTATAAAAAACAGCTAAATACAAGATGAACATCTGAGAGAAGAGTGGGCTAATTTATGACACAAAACCCAAACCAAAGTAGTAAAGGGGTTGATTAAAGCCAACAGAGAGAACAGAGAGACTTTTAAATGATGCATAAATGCATCATTTAAAAAAAGCATCAAACAAAACTTGTGCTTCCGCTTTAATGTGATGAATCGATAAATAAAATCTCTTTACATGCAGATAATAGAAAAGTTGAAAAGTCCTCACATGGAAGAATTCGCCGACATGATGGCTTTTACATCGCGGTTTGAAACGGAGAATGTTTTGTGCCTACATAGACAGAGAGAGAGGTACTATCAGGATAACACAGGGATAAATTACTTTGGGGCTTCCAAACGTCACTGGAACAAAATCAGCCCCAAAATAAAGGCTTGCATTTCTGCCAAATTCCTTAAACATCTCCACATAACTTACATAAATCTGACACTTTGACCAAACTGTTCCAAAATCCTCCATTTCTTCTTTCTAAATGATTTATTGTTGAATTATCTCCAGCAGACTCAGAGTTCTTCTGTCTGCACTAAGCAAAAAAACACAAAATCCTTGTCAAACTTTTAGCACCCTGAGCATAGTCACCATCTCAAAAGGTCAAGAACCAGTTAAGCCTTGTTCCACTTTGGGCCGAACTCCCTCACATTGCAACTCCATGTCCTGAAGAGAAGATATTCCTCCTTAACTTCCCACTCATATATAGAAATTCTGATTGTCGGTGCACGTTATAATTTTGAGGCCTTTGGGGATGTTTTATAATTTTTGCTCTCTGTGCTCTGTTGGCTGGGGCAGCTATAGAAATGCATGGATGGATGCTCTCATGGCTAAATATTTTGGATTGTCATTGATGAGTGAGCAGTCATTTGAAATATAGTCCACTTATAGATGGTTTTCTCTATTTTAAAATGATCCAATCTCACTGGGATCCTCAGCATTTGTGGTAACGGCTCTTTAGATCTATGCATGATAAACCTGGAGGCACAAGTCTCTAGATGACAGGACGCTTAAGTACGTTTAGATGTTAAGATTTCTCTGTCCTTTGGGATGTTATGATCATTGTACATCCCAAAGGACAGAGAAATCTTGACATCTAAACGTACTTAAGTCTATGAAACACGTTGATTTGTATAAGATCTATGTAAATGTACTTAAAATGTATATAGGAGTATTCAAAGAGTCATCTGACTTTTTCCTTCATAAATATCTGGGGGAAGGTCCATTTCAGAATGAGATAAGTAAAGTGACAGCAGCATTAAAAGTGTGTTTTTGTCATCTGACAAAGTGATTTCTGCATCCGAGGGCCACACACAGCATTAAGTTGGGTTAAAATAAAGAAAAAGGCTACCACGGTAGTTACGATAATCAGCTCCCTTGAATAAAAAGTGACTTCGGTCGTCACAGGAGGCGTTTTGTGAAGCTACAAACTCAACAGCAAAAACATCCTGCAGGGGGACAGAAACACTCTACACTTCACAGTATGTCTCACGACCTTTTAATACAGAGTGAAGCAACAGCAAAGGGCTCTCCTGGATGTCCGCCGGCAATCTGGTGGAAGTTCTGCGTCCGTTATCGAAACGTCCCCCCGAAATATCAAAAGGAAATAAATAGTTGTCGACGCTAACTGGGAAGCAGTTGATGGAGGCGGGTCGTTGGTACCGGAGAGAAGAACGATCGATAACTGCCTTCAGATTCCAGGAAATGGTGGAAAATGTCACTGAGGCTGGATTTGAATCACAACGTCCCCCGAAACGCAGACTGAGAACGCACCTGATCTCCCCGAACCCCGTTTTTCGTGTCTCGTTTCTGACGTTTTCCCCAGATCCCTGGAGCCTCCATCAGGCTCCTCCCTCTATCTTCTCCTCGTGGTGGCCCAGGGTGCCGTAACCGTTCATCATGGCCATCTTCAGGTGGGTGTTGGGCGTCGGCTCCTCGGCGAAGACGTTGTTCCTGGCGGCGAACAGCTGGCTGATCTCCAGGAAGGTCTTGTTCTTGGTCTCGGGGATGATGAAGATGGCGTAGGCCGCCACTCCCAGGCAGATGGCGCAGAAGATCAGGTAACAGTAGGGGCCCGTGGCCTCCTGCAGGAGGACACACAACAACGGACAACATTCAATACACAAAACACTTCATTTTAAAAGCTATGTGTCATTATGCATAAGAAAAAAATCGTCCAAATATGTCATAAAATCCAATTAGCTGTCTGAGTGTCTGATGTAATAACAGACTCAGAAAACGTGACATTTTCATCACATTTGTTTAGGTTGTCATGATTCTGTGAATGTGTTCACATAATTTATTGAGCTATTAAGACAAATATCAAATTCCAGGGTAATCCAGCCTCCTGCCCCTCTAAGATTAACTCTTCAATTCAAGACGGTGCTGCGTTCACTGTTCCTCAGAGGTGGGACTGTGAATGTCTTTGGCTCTTCTATGTTACTTTGCTTTGAACATGAGTATCTAAATCGCCTCACAGAAGAAATAAAGAGCAATCAAAGTTCTATCGTTTGACATCCACAGGAGAAATCAGACTTTGTATTCCTATTTTTCCTTTTTTTTTTTCAACTGGAAGTTCGAAAATCCAGATTTGCCTTGAATGCACCATCACTTGAGATCCAGTAAGCAACTAAAAGGTTCAATTAAACAGAGGAATGGAGCAACAGTGAAGTCCAGAGTTTATGGGGCCGACATGTGAAAGAGGACTTAAATAACGAGTTCTCGGTGATGTTAATAACCATCCAATTCTGCAGTGTGTGTTTTAATAACTGCGGCTGCTCGCCTCATGACTTGCGAGGAGACTGTGACCATAAGAAGACTCGGCTGCCCACCGACTGCCAATAGTCAAAGTACAGATGAGGGAAATATAAGACGGTCTGAGCTCTCGGGCTACTTAATCAATGCTCTCTCAAACCATAAAAATGTGCTCCGAGGGTTATTAAGCACTGCAGACCTAAAAGAGGCAGACCCAGAGGAAGAGAGGCGTAAAGTGGAGTTGAACAGATGTCTATAGTCGTAGATGAAATATAAAACTTTCTCTTTATGTTAACTTGACCAAAGTGTGTCAAAAAACCTTTTTGTTAAACTCGTTTTCACCTCAAAGCCCCCGTGCAAAACAGAGTGAGCTCAGCTCTCTTGGATGAGACCCCATAAATGTCTATTTTTTAGTTATATAGAAATGGTTTAATAGCACATTGTGAGTTTTCTAGACAGCCTGCTATGATCGGACCATGAGAGATGATGTTTTAATGAAAAGAAATGCCATTTCCTCTGATTCCAATTTAGCTTTATTAGCTTTAGTTTGCTTTATAAGCAACTCTCTTGTGTAAACTTCTTCCATTTCCACTAATCATCTAAAACAGGATTGAGTTTTCAAAGTCTGAGATGGGAAACGTTGCTCAAATAAAGTTTATATTAAAAATAAACCCCACAAATTCAGTTTTCTCTCTTTTGCTAAATCCCTGTATGCTGGTTGGCTCATAATTGAATAGCTGAATCTGAAACGTACTTAAAGACTACTCAAATAACTAAATATATCCAAAGGTTTAATGATAGGATAATTTTTAGGCTATTGTCTGGGATCCTCACACTTAAACAGACTCCTCCTAATTTGGCTCCTCTCATCATGTAAGGCTTCAACAACTGGAGTGGGATTTCTTTTTTTAAAAAGGCCTCTAACAACGGAGCCACGGGTTAGCTGAACCTTGAACCTTCACCTGTGAGTTTGAGGAATATTGATTTTAACCATTACGTTCAGCCTTTTGGCCGTCTAGATACTTTTCCTGCTTTAAAACTGAATCCTTTGAGAGTGCATCGATCCAACCGAAAATGTCTCAGATTGATGGCAGATGTGCAGGTTGTGTCTTTAACTTGGATTTCACCTCTTTTTCCCTCCATTTTTTGGGGGAAAAAATGAAGAAAAAAAACTTGGACTTCACCTGACAGCCTAACTGGCGTTTTGGGAGTTAATTTAGCTCAAACAAAGCCAGTTCCTAACAAAAGTGCCCACAGATACTCGACTTGGGAAGATTGAGGCTTGAGCTAACGGCAATCTGCGAGATCTGCCACCCGTTTCCCTTCTACACGTCGTCTGGATTCAGCTCTGAGAAGTGTGGGTTTTCTCTGACCTCCAGGAAGGGAAACACAAAGCCGATGGTGAAGTTGGACATCCAGTTGAGGCAGCCGGCCACGGTGTAGGCAGACGGGCGGTGGGACTGCTTAAAGAGCTCCGCCGTGATCAGGAAGGGCACGCCAGCTGTAAAACACGGGTGAGAAGGAGTAATGAGCATATTCTTTACGCCAAACGAAGTAAGCTGAATCTATCGGCCTGATCAGCGTAAGCGTCCGGTCGAGGTGCAAATCAACTTTAATTACCCAGTCCTGCTGTAAAAGTTAAGATGGGCAGCTTCATCCATCAGCCGGTGCGTCGATATTTCCGCACAGGACTACTCACTGACCCCCATTTAAAAACGAACAGAGGATGATATAACAAAAGCCAAAGTGCTATTAAGGTACACTCGGTTTGGGCGTGTATTTCATTACGCGGTTCTAATTACAGAGGATTCGCAAACTGACAAGACGGGGAAAGGTGTTTGTCAAGTCGGACTGGAAGCTCCTAAACCGGGAATCGCAATTCATTAGACTGATACGGCTCTATTAGAAGTGTCTTTCCTTCCGAACATCCTTCATTGTTAGAAGTGAGGAATATGAAGGGGAAAACGGCATTAGGAAAAGTTCTAACGATCAGCCTTCAGAATGATGTCTTCATTATCTGAGCCTGCTAACTGCACGGGGAACAGCTTAATATTGTCAAACCAATAACGAGGCCGTAATTTGTCAACATGTACGGACGGTCGTCACCGTGGAAGCAAGGTTTCACGTGAAGGAAACCGCATTCATTACGGGGAGCCTATGAACAATGAGCCATTAAAATTATAATTGCGGCAACAGAAATCCTGGACCGTGTGCCGCGGTATGGATTCGCCGGCTTGACGGATGATGTTATGTAAACCGGATTCTTCCCGATTCATCATCCCTCGCAGGTCGGCTCTACGCGGCTCCCGGCGTTGTAAACTAATGCCTCTTAATTCTCCTCACTCATCTCGTCTAATGCACAAAACGGCTATGGAAACGGATGTGGTGCAGCAGCTAGGATCTCTCTAATTTACAAGACTAATGAGAAACAACCTCACGGCCTGCTCACAGGAGGAACCGTGCAGGGTATGGATTCGCCTGTTGTTGCTCTGATGTCCAGCAGGGAGCAGTGTTAGCTTAAACACGGGGTTGGAAGGATTCAATCAGTTTTCCTGGGAGGTGTGTTTGTTAAAGTTCTCTACCTGGGCCGATGCAGAAACCGGCGATGATCCCCACGACGCATCCCACGCTGATGTAGCGCATGAAGGCATACTCCTCCTGGAAAGCACAGGTTACAGAGTCGTAAGCACTTTTTTTTTAGCTTTTTTTATTTTTTATTCCCTCGTGTGTTTTCACCCAGCTGCTGGTGATTATGTGTAAAATACTGCAAACACCTGCTGCACCGTGAGGAGCTCCTAAAACCCACTTTGTGGTTCCACACAAACACACGTTTGTGCGCCGTTTACAGCTGTAGACGAAACATTAGCCGAGGCAAATAATGCTGTATAATCATCATTACCGGCAGCCCAATCTGCCATTCTTAGATAATTAGAGAGATTATTCATAACTTTGATTTGACGCGTTTAAGTTTGCGTGATTGGTGCATGTCGGGGGCGTGTCCTCAACTTTACAGGAGGTGGGCAGAGCCCTGGTCAGGTACCTGGTGGAGGACGGACACGGTGATCCCGGCACAGCACACTCCCATGAACAGGAAGCCTCCAATTATCAGAGGCCGTCTGCCCAGGCGCTCGATGGTGAAACACTGAACGATGGACGGACAAGAGAGAAGAGCTGTGATTGGCTGGTGACAACAAATGGCGAAACACTAGAAAAGAGAAGAACCCTCTAATCTTTTTATGTCTTATCGGTTCTATTTCCACGCAGCATTAAGACCGGTACGGCGCATCTTTGTCTGTAAATGTGGATCATCAACAGACATTAAAAAGTGTTCAGAGTAAATCTAATTCTTCAAAAGTTCACAACCTAAATGAAATGCCAACATGCCAACATACAGAGCCACATTATTTATTTGTTCATTCCATAAATCTATGTTGATTTGCTCTGATAATTAATAAGCAAAAGCAATATTATTTCTTTAATTGACGAATTAATTCAGATCTTTTTAATGTTAACTTTCTGGAAAAGTTCGCTCCCTCCTGGATTAAAGCCAAAGAGATCATTTACTTATGATGTCAGCCTGAGGGCTGTCTATGTGTTCTGTGTGTTGTGTGGGAGTGTCTGTTTTCATCCAGGTGAGCTGTCCCAGCTAGCTGGAATAGGCCTAATGGGCTGGGCCGCCATTTAAAAGGAGGAGAAGGCCGATGCCCAAACGCCAGCTAGTGCGGTGGTCTGCAGTAGGCTAAACAGGTGTGAAGGCCGTGACTCTGAGTGAGAGGAGGGCGGTTGTTGCTATTTTTTGTATTGGTTCCGTTACTCATATTTTTTCTGCAGGTTCACTTGGGATTGTGTTTATTTTATTGTTTTTTTCAACAGCTAACTGGGTGTTTGACCAGCAAAACAAACCAATCAATCAATCAATCAATCAATCAATTCACTTGAAAAATAAATGAAAATGATTTGAACATTTTCACAATTTCTACACAGTACTGTTGACCGTCTGGGATGTAAAATGCTTTCAAATTGAAGCTAGATTGGATTAAAATGGACGCTACTTGTGTTGGAATCATTGCCACACCATTCTTTTGTAACCCCAAGTAGGGAAGAGAGTCAAAATGTAGTGTATTTTTGAAAAGGTTTGATCTGAATTTTCATTGCTATTGAACAAAAATAAAAAAAAACACACATACAGTTAATCAAGGTCAAGTAAAAAAAGATCTAAATTGATAAAACTGGACCGGTCTGCTCACCCCCAGCATCCCGGCGATGACCTCGATGGCTCCGGTTCCCACCGTGGTGTACTGGATGTGTGGCTCTGGGATCCCCGCGTCCTTAAATATTTGATTGGTGTAGAACCATATCTGAAATTCAAAGGCGAAATCAAGTCAATTATTATCATGAAAAAGTCAAATTCCCATACGCTGAAAATCAGTGGCTGTCTAAGGAGCCAAAAAGCCTCCCTGCTCCTCTGGCTCCTCCATATGATTCATCATGGTGATCACTGTCATCAGGCAGATCATCGCTCAAACATTTGAGGTACAGCGTTTCATCAGTATGGACCGCTGACAAGTGCTCCCTTTGAAATTAATTTGTGTACTCTCATTAATCACACTTTGCTGATGCAACATCCATCACTGATGAGGCGCCGGCAGAAGCGAGATGTCGTGTTGATTTAGTAACCAGATACGTTGCCTTCATCAGGACGGCAGCGAAAAACACATAGCACCTGAAACAAAGCTGCTGAGGAGCACAAAAGCTGACTCTCTCCCAACGCAAACGGCATAGTAATAGATTCAAATCCTTCCTTGCTGAGCTAAAATCTTCCATTTCACAGGAACCGTGTATCACCGCTGTCAGATAGGATATTCTGCTCTCAGGCAGAGCAAACGCTGCATTTTCAATATGGATTTAACTCTGATTTATTCCAAAAACCAAAGTAAAGCCTTTAATTGAAATGCTTTTTTGATGTGAAGCTACCAGTCCAAAGTTTCAGTGTCGAACATTTATTGTGATCAACTGGAAGCAAAGCAGTCGGATATTAATGATGATGAATGAGTTTCAAAAGCCACAGGAAACCCTTTTATTCTATTTTAACTTATTTAACGTACGGAGGGCTCAGATTGTGTTTTTCAAACCAAAATCAAAGAAATAGCAATATAAAGATTGTTGGAACAGACATAAAACAGGTGGTGGAGTAGAATAGATATAGAAGATATATAGAAGTAAAAGAAACTCAAAATGCTGTCAATTGACCTCACTTTAGCTTTAAAGATAGTTTTGTATCTGAGGAAACGTAAGCAACTTTCTGATCAACTGTCAGGAAATCCCCTCATGCTTCAAAACTCAGAACGCTCTGACCACTAAGACACCAAATACCTGAAAGAAGTCCCATTTAAAGACGAAACAGAAAAGAAAACATACAATAACCACTGCTGTGACATCCATTCATCAACAGGAATTCTAGGTTTTGTTGAGCCAGCTATCACAAAGGCTGCCTGGATATAGAGAAAAAAAGTCTATTGTTATTTCCCCAACACCTTTAAACCCTCGGTGGGCATCAGATGTAATAGAGTGAAACCCCCTGTATCCGCCTTTCTGACAATTTATCTTAATCTAAAACTTCACAACCATGTAAATACAGTAAAGGCATTCTCATTCTACCTTTTACCAATAATTTCCATTTCATTGAAAGGCATTTTTCTCTAAAGATAATGCAGAATGATTCTTATTTTTCTCATAAACTATACCTAAAAACTAAATAAAATCTGTAGATAATACATATATTTTTTCCATCAAGACTGGAGATAAAAAAAAACAGTTTCTAGTACTATAATAAAGAATTAAATGCTGCTAATTTCATGTCAGAAAGGCCAACTTCACCTTTAAAACCGAGAGAAACACACTTATCACTGTAATTGTGACTAATTCAAAACAAAATCCTCACTTTTTTCTCCTTATATGCTATTTCAGTAGCCTTTTCCTCCCTTTAGTTTAGGTCACGTGGATTCTCCACCGTGTGTTTTTCCTGGTAGTGAGGCGGTGTGGAACAGCTGGATCTGAGAGCCCCAGCGGGGGGGAACCTGTGCTGGGAAACGATTCCCCCCCCCCCAACAGAAAACAATGAACACAAAGGTGTGCTTGACATTTCGCTCAGGTGGGTGGGCCTTGTTAGGTGGAGGTTCCACAGAGAGAGGCGAGCGGGGGGGATAATGAGGCGTGGTCATGTCGCCCCCTTTAGCTTAGGCGTCCGGTGGGGGGGGGGGGGGGCTTTGATGTGTGGTCAGATGGGAGGAGCACAGCTGGGAGCAACAACATTACCCCGCCTCGCTCTCATATCAAGTGCACAGTTGTTGCACAATCAAAATGAAAAAGCCAATGGGCCCGAGACGCCCCCCTGCTGCTCACCGCGTCGATCCCAGACAGCTGCATGCCGATGTTGACCACCACGATGGTGATGACCTGCCAGCGCACGGAGCGGTCCCTCAGCAGCCAGCGCACGGAAAGGGTCTCGATGGTGGACAGCGAGCGCTGCTCCTCCTGCATCTCCTCCACCTCCGCCTGGATGTTTCCCTTCGTACGAAACCACTTCAGGGCTAAAACAGAAAGGAGAGCGTTTGCCAGACTCAGTAAGGGAAGCGGCTAAAATCGGAGAATCGCTTTTGGTTTGAGGTTCGCAATTAAACCAGAGGCGGAAAACTATGAATAAAATAACAACAATACAAAATATATTCAATATTATTGGGCATCTGACCTGTTATGGTTGCGTGCACGTTTCCTTTCTCTATCAGCAGGTACCGTGGACTCTCTGGAAACCATGGCAACAGCATCAGCTGGACCATAGTAGGAAATACCACCAGGGAAAGCAGCAAAGGCCAGTACTCCTCCTGAGTGGAAAAACGAAAGCACAGATGTTTACTGAAGCCTTCAAAGGATTCTGGGAGGGGTGCATAACGCACTCCACTCAGGTCGTCCCATATTCTCGTCTTTTCTGTCAGGTCAGCTGTTTGTCTGAGTAAAGCCTCATCCAGGAACAGGTTCAGGGCAGGAGGACCTGATGGATGGCTTAAATATTGAGCTAACATAATTCAATTTTCTCCAAATAGGAGGAGGATGAGTAATTCTTCTTTTGGTTTTTCTACTTTATATCATGTTTTTGTCTACGTTCTGGAGCTGCTCATATTCTGACCAAAAAAAAAGACACAAAAGGAAATCCCAGCATGCAAGAAAGGAAAAAAGTCAGTCAGGGACAGAAGGCCAGGTCATGTGAATATCATCTAATTATAAGACAGCCTGCTTACATATTTTATGCGACTTAATTAAATTTATAAATGACATGTGAATGCATCATTGTGATCCTTCTGTATTGTACAGTCCAGCAAAATCTTGTTATCTGAGTTTTCGGACTGTTTCCCAACAATTGTTTTTGTTTAGTTTGGACCCCTGATGCCTCTGCCCACTAAGGAGTAGAAACTCAGGAATAAAAAGGATAAAAAATTAAATTCAGACTGTATCCGCGTTGCCTAATCACGATCCAAACAAGATTTGGTGAGACAAAGTTAGTACCTTTCCCAGCAGTTCGGAGAGCCCCAGAACCTGAGCGATGAAGACTCCCAGACAAATGTGGATGCTGGGAACGAGGCCCAGGAAGCCTCGCAGGTTTTTGGGGGCGATCTCGCCGAGGTACATGGGCACCACGCTGAGCGAGATCCCTGATGGAAAGACAGAATTTAATTACCCCGTCGCCAGCTGGGTTTCTCAAAGATCAGCTCCGCGGGTCCTTCTGTTCTCTCCATTAGACTGAAGCTCTTCCTAAAATTACCTTTCCTGTGTGAGCAAATTAAGTTACACTCGTCTCCTCATACATTTGTTTTTATTTGGTTTATACAGCAGAGCTTTACTGTTACGAATAGAGATGGACCCAAAGGGAAATCCATCTCTGAACACGGCAGAAAAAAGACAGAAAAAAAAAAATGTACACAAGATATGGACACAAGTACATTATTTTAAAGTGATTTTAAATGGTCTATTAAAAAATAAACCTGCCTCTCTCTGGAAAATATGAGAGCAGAAATGCAGCTCAGAAAACAGCCCCTGATGTGGCCAAATATCTAAACCTCATTCAAATGAAAGGTTTTTCCTCTTCATTTTGGGGCTCTTTGACTGATCCCCGGCGGACCGGGACATTTCTGTCAGAAAGATGGCGTGCTGAATTGATGGTCAATCATAGTGACCGTTGACCTGTAGTTTGAACCCAGTGACTCACGGCCATCTGCTTAACTAGTTGTCCCTGGTTCTGCTGTTTTCTTTTCTTTTGGGGGGCGAATGCAGCTAATTTTGGTGTGCTTGTCACCATCATGATAAAGAGCCTTTAGGTCTTGTGAAGTCGAGGCTTGACTCTGGCTTGCAGAAGCACTTTGAAACCTCCTACAGATGTGCAACACAGTCAGACAAATTATCCACAGCTGTGTCAACGGGCCACAGCCCAGTTAAATGTGTCACAGCTAATTATCAGACTTCCAATAAGAAAAACCTACGGTTCCTTCACCAACAAACCGGCAGGCTGAAAATACCTGAGTGGACTCCTGTGACGAAGCGTCCAGCGATGACCATCGCGGGGCTCCTGAACCATCGGCTGAAGCCCATCAGAGATCCTCCTATGAAGACCAGCATGGTGGCTCTCACCAGCGTCCCTTTCCTGTTCGGACACAGAGGCTCGTCGGGGGTCGGCTCTCTCCGACCTCGGGGAGACGGACAATCCACAGACACCTACCTTCCGTATTTGGTGACCAGTTTGCCCACCAGCAGGGCTCCGGCCATCCCCCCGATGGCAAAGATGGACACGGTGATGGAGTAGAGGATGGTGAGAACGTGCTCCTCTGGAGGCTCGTCGTGACGCTCGAGTAGTGTCTCGTTGTAAAAGGCTTTGATGTACTGGTGACAAACACAAAGGATCATTCCAACCTTCAAACTGAGAGCTCCTCCTGCACAAAGACCAACTACTGATTCAGTAAAAACACCCAAGAAATCGAATCTTGATCAGAAGATGCTTAAATCTGGTCTATTATGCTAATGACAACCTGATAGCTGATCATTAATCAATAAGGAATTCATTCCATAAAAGGTGGAATCGTGATATTTTAACAGTTTTCCCAGGTGTCTTATTTCGCTCTCGTGAATTCGGTATCATTTTACACAACATTGTGTTTGCATTCAGTATTCTGGTAAACTCCTGCCGGCTGTTTATCTTCTGTCGCACGTGTTAATCAGTTCCTGTTCGTGTTGATCAGTTCCTGTCACACCTGACTGTCATAGCCTCCCTGTGTAGACATCTTCATGGCTTTTATCCATTTACACACACCTATATAAATATTGTTTATTTAAATAAACTGTTTAATTCTGTATCATCATATCTGGGTTGTGTTTGCTCTCTTTGTTAGCTTATTCATAATAGTCTGACTGTCCTTTGTCCTGTTTCGGTTTAGTTTATAGGTTTTCTTTCCAGCCATGGCAGCAAACTTGGTTTGGTTCAATAAAATCTTTGTTTTTGGCCGACTGAAGTTGCCCGTCCTGCATTTGGGTTCTTCCCCCTGCGCGCTCTCCCGCATGATCCATGACAGACACGCGCGGAGCTGCTTTATATAAAGACTCTTCATGCTAACAGACACAGAAGAGGAAAAACAAACTCAACTTAACCGAAACCAATCATGACCACTCTGGTGGATGTAAAGCTGACGTCATCATCTCAGTGATTTGAGCAAATCAGGGGAAAATGAGAGGACCCAGGTCATGTGGTGGCAAAAGATGTACAAGATGGCCGGTCCTGACGCAGTAATTTTACACATCCACCATAGGACGAGCACGAGGGAGCAAAAAGCCACAGCCAGTGGGAAACCGTTTCTGAATAGCGGCCGCTAAACTGCTGCTCTTTATCTGATGTAGATATACAGTTTCCTTCATAATATCCGTCCTTCAGTCCATTACAATCAATGTTCCCAGCCGGATTTCCCCAGATCGATTAAAACTTCTAATTTTTTACGGTGCACAAGCAGACCAGAAATATGCTGCAGAGAGAAACCTCCTGTACTTGGGCACTGAAACACATCAGTGTTTCTAAAGTTCGCCGAGCAACTCCTGATCTAACTCCTGACTCCTGATGAATGCGAAATTCATTGTTGACTCTGTGAAGCACTTTACTTTTTTCTGTTTTCATTTCCTGTGAGAAGTAACGACATCGCAGCTTTGTGATGAGAAGAGAAGGCTTGAAAAGTTCTCCATTACTTAAAAAAAAAAAACGCAAGCTAACCAAGCTAACCCTAAGTTTAAAAAAAACAAACACAAGCTAACCAAGCTAACGCTAACCCTAAACCAAAGTCTGCATCTCTTCACCAGAAGAACTTTAGATATTTTAAATAAAACAACCCACTATGGGAGTAGTATCTCCATTAGTATTGGCCAAAGCACAATCTGCATTGTTTTATATGGACTGCAACTTGTGTATAACTTAACCCAAGGGGATGCCTTTGGGTCATTTAATGGCCATAAAATACTGTAGCAATACTCTAGAGTGTTTATTTCTGAGATTAGACAGTGTGGTGGGTTCCCCCCAGCAAGTCGCAAACGATTAAACCGATCAAGCATAACTAGATCATTTTTCTCACTCATCAAACTCTCAGAAAAGGGGAACTTAAGAAAACTGCATGTGTAACTTTGTTAGTGTCTAGTTTGGTGTCTCTCGGCTAAAGCACCCGAAACCACACCGCGGTAATTCCTGCTCCAGGGTAAACTGTTAGATACGGGAAGCGTGGGAATGAATCATATACACTGCACTATGCAGCGAATTCCTGGATTTTTACAGTATTAATTCTACTGCCGGCGTCCCTGAAAAGACGTCAGGCTTCCTGGGTGTATCCAATGAGGCTCAGAAAGGAAATCCAGTAAAAAATCACCACATTTTGTCCTGAGGGCATCAAAGCTACGGCATCTGAGGGTATCAGAGCTACATCTTAAGCTTTTAAAGGCGGCAGACTCCGCCGATACGTGTGGATCTGAGCCTCACGTGCGCTGACCGTGTCCAAAGAGGAATGGGCCCCGGCCCAGTGGAAAATCCAGCAAAGGGGGGAGCAGAACGGGGGCAGAGATGGATTGAAACGGACCGAACATCGATGACACGGCTGGACGGCCCACATGACTTTACGCTTTAGCACGGGACGGCGGCCCGGGTTGTCTGGGACCTCGGGGGCCTCAGGCGGGAAAACCACAAACCTCTGCAGGTGAGTTGACCACCGCCAAGTTGTAGCCGTAGAGCATGGAGCTGCCGAAGGAGGACAGGAAGGCCACCGCCAGCAGTGACCTGGTGAGATGCTGAGGACAGGAGAAGGAGGTCAGGGACGGGCCAAAGTTAGCCGGAAACATGGGACCCGTGCACGTGTCCGGAACTTTTCCCTCACCAGTGGAAAAAAAATCAGAGGGTTGACTGGTTTAAAGTTAAAACACTAAACAACATGCACATTACCTAAGAGATAAGGCCATCACGGAGGAGTAATTACCAGGGTATAAGGAATTTTGACATTTTACGGCAGAAACGTGCGGGCAGGAGGCCAAAACCGACGGCCACCATGAGACCTGAAAGTCACATGAGTCACTTTCCGACTTCAGAGACAGAGGCAGCCTTCTGTGTTTTCATTATTAACAGTGTGAAGCTACCCTCTTGGCTGCCAGCCTAAATTCCACACATCAGGCTTAGCTGACCTCGGAGGAAAGGGCCTGTGGGATAACGCTGCTTTTTTAATGCCCCTGCCTTTCGGATAAAGCTCAGAAGAAGCTGGATGTTGCCCACATGCCCACGCAATAACCCCCCGAAAAAGGAGCGAAAGCTGGAAGAGGACGAAGTCTCAGTCGGCTCCGGCCGAACAATAACCGCACTGTTGCTTGAAGAAACCTAATTTTGCTGGTAATGGCCTGATGGAGCACGTTACAGACATGAAAATAGCCGGGATCAGACAAAGCTGACCAGTCAGCTCCAATTTAGGCTCATTAGTCCATCTGTCAGATGAGCAGCTTTTCACATGTTGCATCACCTCAGATCCCAGTCATTCTTTCTGAAAGGGACCACTTCGCTTTCGTCTGAAGTTTGTTTTTTGCAGCACTGAGATGATAAATTTCTTTCTGAGACGAGATACTACCCAGAAATGTATTTTCCCTACATCACATTACCTCTGAAACAAAAGGCTTTAACTTTGCTTTTTTATGTTGATGGCAAACAGATTAAGAAGCTCTACCGGTATGTTTCCAAAAAAAACAAACAAAAAAAACTGTGAGGTAACTGAACTAAATCACAGATTTTTCTCAAGGGGAAAATAAATAAATAAAAATAAAAAGGAAATAACATGAATGGATAAAGAAAAAGCTCACCCCGCTGATCTTTGCGTCATTTTCCGTCAACAGTTCTTCGGCCATTTAAGTTATGAATAACTCCCGCACTTGTGTGATCAGCTAGTTGGAGATGACATACAGCTCATCTGCTCAACTTTTGCAGAACTCCTTCCTCCCATTTGTAGACTCCAGCCGCCGCGCGTGGCGCGCGGAGGAGGCGCGTCCTGTTGATGGGTGGAATTAAAAAAAACTTACCAAACTCCTAATTATCCAACCAGCTCCCCGCAATCCGCGCTCCATTAGGGATCACATGAGCCCGCGGGTCACTCTGCCCTCCCAAAGAGCCCACAGTTGTCACAAATTGTGTCCAGGGGCGTTTATGGGAATTAGGAAAGCAGCGCAGGAAGACACGCTGCTTTCCTCCACTTTTTTTCCTTTTTTTTTTTTGGCAGATGATTCTCAAAATGAGCAGTCGCCTCCTCTTAGTAACCCACTCCTAATTACTTTATTTTTAAACGATGTGGCTTAAATTTCCAGGATGCTGCTCGCATTTGAACAGACATGCAATTGACGCGATGACGTCATCAGAGGTATTCAGACAGGACACAGAAACCAAAGCGTTGTTTTTGATTTACCGGCCACTTCTGAGACACTGACTGAGCTGGTTTCCATCCTGCTGGATGTCTGTTGGCACCTGTGCTGGTTTGACAGACATCAGTTATGATGCGTGATGGTGGAACCCAGAAAGTTGTGAACTTCTTGGCGCTTCAGAGACTGATAAGGGCCTGGAATAAGACTTAGAAATCAAAAGGAGTCAAAGAAGAGACACCTAGGAAGTTCGAATAAAAAAAAAATTATCCAACCGTTGCCAGGGGTCTTTTAATAACTCCCTGTAGTGTGATTTTTCTACTATTTCACCTATGACTTAGAAAAACACTATAATTGTTTTCACTGGGATAAATCTTTTGGGCCTGTAATCTTTCTTTTCTGTTCTGATCACAGGGCACAATGAGCTATGTCAGTTAATTTCATAAAAGGTTTGACCGGATCGCTTCCTGACACGTGACAGACTGACCCCCCCCCCCCCCCCCCCCC